CGTGTCTGAGCGGACGTCTAAAGACGCCCGCTCAGATCTAGAGAGCTCCGGGCCGGCCGTTTTTCTACTACGGCCGGCCCGGAGGCAGTTAAGGTGCCCATACACCTTACAATTATCTGGAGATTTTTGTCTGCGATCGCGTTTTCGTCCGAAAATCTGCCAATTGATGGGAAGTGCACAAACTCAATTACTGTAGAACTGGTAAATTATGGTCTTTAAAGCAGGCTAGAAAAAGGTTTGTCCAGTTGGACAAAAATCGACGGGTTAATGGCGTTGTTGTACAACAAAATTCTCAAGATGAAAAGTACACATGATCAAGCAAAAATTTGTTCTTTCGATCAATGAAAATCAGCTAGTTACTGGTGCTGACGAACGTTAATTGTGAACTACATTGGTCTGTGCATGATGGGCTAGTTGAACGAAAATTGAACGAGGATGAGATGTCTGGACAAAAAAAGTTGTACAATGGTTGTAAGGTGTACCTTTAGATCCAAATCTGCCATGTGTGCCACACAATATAGAAAGTAAATCCTCCACCATACGCTTCCCACAGCTGGGAAAGGCTTGCTACTGCTGTTACTAATAAAGCAATTTAGGTTGAATTCTACATTTAAACCTCCCAGAGTCAGTGTATTTATATCACAAATCCCATTTGATTCTTTTTTTACTTCTCATATCGTATTACATCCTCTCTAATGTTTATTTACCTTTTCCATTACCAAAAATGTAGACCTTTTGGATCCTTAATATGGTACATAGAGAAATGTTTTGATACATTGTGTTTTTCAAAACCATCTGCCGTGTGGGCGGGGCGGGAGCTGCGGCCGGTCTTTACATTTAAAATTCAGTTTATGTGCAGCTACCCCGAAAGTAAGACCTAGCGGATTTCTGTAATATAAGACCTACCACCGAACTAGGTCTTATTTTCGGGGTAGGTCTTATATTACAGAAATCCCTGAAGATAGCGCTAGGTCTTACTTTCGGGGTAGGTCTTACTTTCGGGGAAACACGGTACAAGAAATTTTATCTTATCAATATTATTGGATGCAGTGAAATTGTTTCTGTGCTTTACATTATTTTTAACATGATGCAAGCATAACATCGGCCACAGCAGTAAAATCTATTACGTTCAAAAAAATATATACATTTATGAATGGAAGGATTAACAACATTTCTAACTATTTTGTAGTTTTGCCTTTTTATAAATTAATTTAGAGACTGCGGGTAGCATTGATTTCAAGTTTTGATCTTGTATAAGTATTGGCCAATGTTTTTTAACAATTTTTTTCAATAGAATTGTGTTGACTGTTGTGATCAAGGACAATAGCATTACTAAAATCTACATTATTATTTAATTTCTTATCTGTATTCTTTAACTATTTGTTTGTATCCATCTTTAACACTTTGGGGGTGATTTACTAACCTAAACACACGCACGCACCAGGTGCGTGTGATTTTCACACAGCAAAACGTATTTATCAACCAAAAAGTATCTAAAAGCATATTTCCACTAATGCCATATATGGAAAAATCATGCACATGATGCATATATAATGCTGCTTCACAGTTTAGACAAAAATGGTTAGCTCATGCATTTACATTCCTGCATTCATCAACGCAAGCAACACAACATAGAGCTAATTTACACAACATCACCTTGCAATTCATGCTTGGCTTTGCACAACACACCTGCTGGGTGTGTACACACCACAAAGGTGTTTAGATTCCACCCATAGATCATGCTGGGAGGGAACACACTACAGAGGTGTATACATGTTCGTGGTGTGTTTATAAGGTTAGTAAATCAACCCCTTTCTCTCTTTTTCTATAAACATTTTCTCATATTCCTTCTCTGTAAATCTTTTGCATAGTAGATTGTTTGATATAATCATCTTCTTTAGTGCAATTCCATTAAAACTTCACAGATTGTACTCTCAGTAGTCCATTAAGAGTGAGGTAAACTGTTAATAGGGATAAAACTATTTATATCAGTTTCTTTAAATAATGTTATAGTCTTTATTTTTCCCTATTCAAAAAATATACCTTAATCCAAAAAGTTTATTTTGGGCAACAGTGGCGTAATGGTTAGCAATTCTGCCTTGCAGCATCTTTATGGCGTGAGAGAACCAAAGAATGAAAATATTCAATATAAAATTAATCTGCAAAAAGAGGGTAAAACATTTTAATATTTCAATAATGCATTCCCGCATTTTGTATATTGGTAATACAAATATCATGCTTGTTATGATAGAAACAGGAAGGGATGCCGGTTGGGAAAATATTAAACATAGATTGGTTATATATATATATAGATGATAGTTTTTTAAAGATGGCTCTATGAATAAAATAACGATGCAGTGTCTTATGCCATATAAATAAACAGGATTAATGTTTTACTGTAAAATGTCTTGTAGAGAATACGGGTATTAGACCCTTACTATCTATTGTTATGGAAATTCTCTTGGTTAAACGCACAAATCCATGCTGCGCTAAAGTATGCTGCCGAACACAAAGAATTTCCCCCCGTGCTTAAAAGCACAGTTGTATTAAGCTCTTTTGTGCAAGGACTGGATGTACCTCTGTAGAGTCATGTAGAGTCAGGACAGAGGTGTTGCTTTCCTGCTGGTGGTTCCCTTCTTAGAGCCCTCAGCACAGGTATTTGTTTGTTTTTATAGCTGTCCGACAGGAAGTGATGTCAGACAGGAAGTGATGTCTCAAACAGCAAACCAGGAAGTGATGTCAACAACCAACATCACTTCCTCAATACATCAACATATCACAGCCAGTCAACAAAGCACATGTACAGAAAAGAAAAGGGAATGTATGTCTGTATCATACCCACAAACACAATCTCCCATTACCACTCTAGCGGACCTTATCCAGCACTGCTCAGTGAGCAATGCCCAGTAACGTTACTATGTTTCTCATGAATGCGTGCTTATCTGCAGGGACAATGCCATACCATTTCCAGCGCGCTGATCAGATGCATCAGAAATACGAACGCACGTTCCTTTCATAAAGGCAGATATGTATCTTAAATAATACTATGTCCTTAAAGCAAGTGTATACTCGCCAAACCAATAAATCTGCGTTTTGTGCAGGGGCCCTAGCTTGGTGTCCACACACTCTCTAAGAAAACACTGCTCCGCCACGCATAAGATATCTACTCCAATGGTTTAACCCCAGTGTCTATTTAAATCCCGGTCACGCTCCAATCGAGCATGGCCCAGAAATCCAGACACTGAGAGACATGATGACAAAACACTAAAAACACATCCTAGTAAAATGTCAGCAGTAGGGATTCACACCTCTGTACCTTTTGAAAGGATACAAAAGATAATAGATGAAGAAGGAAGGTTGGAAGAATTTGCAGAGGGGGTAATGGTATTAGGAGGAGACTTTAATCTTACGCTCGACCCAGCAGTTGGCACAGTTGGGGGAAATCAACATATCTCACTATCACAAATAAATAAATTAAAGAAAAGACTACATTACTTGCAATTGGTAGAAATCTGGTGGGTTTTAAACCCTGCTACTAGAGATTATACTTGTCACTCTTCAACATATAGCAGAATTGATCTTTTTTTGGTGTCACATTGTATATTAAGTTGGTCCCCCCAAGCACAGATTGGGACGCATGGTTTGGTCAGACCATGCCCCGATGTATTTCTCGATAAGTCTATCGGGATTGGTGAAACCTATATCCTTGTGGCGATTGAACGAGAGCTTATTACAGGATCCCATAGTGAGGGCTGAAGTCATTGGCACTATTAATTTTTATAGTTGATCATTCAAACGATAATACATCATTACCAATAAAATGGGAAGCACTTAAGAGTGTAGTGGGAGGGGTCCTAATTGCCCATGTGGCACATATAAAGAGATTGAGAACGGTCTATAAAAACCTTATTAGCAGACGTTCAACGGCTGGAGCAAGAGCATAAGAGAGTACAGGATCCAACTACCTTTGTGACTATACAACGGAAGAGAAGCGAGTTGCACAAGATGCTAGATATACCATATCAACGCTATAAAGACTGCTATTCGCTTTCTTTATGAGTTTGGAAACAAATGTAGTAGATCACTAGCACAATATATTAGAGATAAACGGAAGAAGACATATTTTCCTAAAATTCAATGTCCGACTCGAGGCCTAGTGTTTACCTCTGAATAATATTGGTGAAAGTATTTCGCAATAAGCTCTGAG